AGCATACTCGTCATGTACTCCGATGAGTACTCGTACGAGTTTTTCTTGAGAAATTTACTCATAGACAGATATATGAGTATTCAATGTAGTACTCATTCACGTTTTTTTCACAGAATATTTAGCAAAACACTTATACACTAGCATGCATAAAAATGAATTGGAATTATAGAAAAAAAATAGGAAATGATGCAATAAAATGAAAAATAGAGAAAAGCTGTTTTAATGAATTATTTATTTTATTCTCTATCCCTTTCTGACGAGTCATTTATATGACTAAAATAAATGGTGACTTGACGATAGAAAAGAAAAACGATTTTTCTTATTCATTTGTTAACATTTTCAGTAAGATTAAGTTTTTTTTTAAAAATATTAATCTAAATTCGCTTTAATTTTATTTCCTAAACTTAGGTAAAAAATCTTCATTGAAAATACAATTTTTCAGATTGACTGTAAAATAATGTGAAACGAATTACAGCTAACGATTTTTGGTACAAAACGGTCACAATCTTAACATAAGAAGATGAGTGAGTAAACTATAGACAAATAGTTTTATTTTATATTTATTTATTTTTTTGTAAAATCTGAGATAAATCTAGATAGTTAGGAATTTAAAAATGTCTCTGTTAATTTTTTTTTTGTGCAATAAGCAATACTGTACGTTTATTTGTTATCATATTTCCCATTATCACTGATTAATTTATTATTTTTTCTTCTTCGCTATATTTTACTATCCTTAATTCGTGTTTTATTGTACTCTCACTCTAAGGTATAGATAATAAATCTTCATTATCAAAAAAAAAAAGGTTAACTATTTTCTTTACTTTTATATAATGAAAATATGATTTTATTTTTTGAAAGAAAAATGAAAAGAATAAATAAAATTGTATTTTTATTATAGAAAAATAAAAAAATGTTTAATTTTCTTTGCTGATAATGAATATATATATGTCTGTATTCTTTGTGTTAAAATATACGAAACTGAGGTCAAACTTGTAGTTCTCATTTTGATCGTTTTACTCGAATTTTCATTGTGTGTGTCTGTATTTTTTTAAATATTTCAATATTAAATAAAAATTGATGTAGTACAACGGTACTAACCAAAAAATATGCTTGTGAGTATTTTACATAGACCAGCAGAGTGCACAGAAATTAGATAATAATACTCACAAAACATTCAATATTATACCGCGAATACTCGATCGTCGTACTCAAATACTCAGATTCTAGCACGAGTAGGACTGATGAGTACTCAAAACCTATGAGTACTCGTGACATTTTCCAGCGTGAGTACTTTTTGAGTACTCGCCCATGAGTACCTTCACTAGGGACGGGTAATAATAATCGGCAGAATTTTTGGCCTACAACCTACGTGAGCCTAAAAATATTATTCGTTTGTTTTCCTGTTCGTATGAAACATCTGTAGAACGAAAAAAAAAATAACCAATTATTTTCGTAGGCTTACGTAGGCCGTAGGCCAAAAATTCGGCCATTTATGATTACCCTAAGAAGACGCCATTCACACTAGAAAAAATAAAGCTGAATTAAGCAATGTGATTGGTTAATTCAGTTTTAATTCGTCTAGTGTGAATGGAGCCTAACAGCGTGATGGATGAAATATTAATATATATACATTTGAGTCAACGTCCGACTTGCTTATAAGGATAATATTCAACCAATCAATCGTAAGGATGTATTATTTTTGCAGATGACCTTATGAAACAAACGTTTTTTTTTCTTTTTTTAGTCAATAATTATTCTATGTCATAAGAGAACGAGCGTCTTTGTAGCTGTTCTATCTCACATGGAATCTTGATTTGAATTCTTTCTTATAAATTATGAAATTTATAGATAGACCTATGGATAATGTTAAACGAAAATCATCTGTTAATCATTTATCAAAGGAAACAGCAAAGAAATTACGAAGTAAGTTTATCCACAGAGTACACTTTAAAAATAAAAGGTATTCTTCGAAAATCGACCAAAGTCAATTTCTCAACATTCGGGAATCAAATGATGTTTTCAGGAGTAATTCTGAATCTTTAGGAGATTTTTCAAGGCTTAAAAATAGGTTTTCTGACATTGGAAACTCTTAAAGTATTTTCGATGATATAACAAAATCGAAAACTTTATAGAATACCCTTTTTTTTAAGAGTATAGACATAAATAAATCTTTTTTATTTTCATGAAACTAGATGAATTTGATCGATCAATAACTTCCATTGAAAATTTATCGAATGAATGTTTTTATGAAATATTCGATTATCTTGATGGTTGTCAAATATATGAAGCATTTTCAAATTTAAATTATCGTTTTCACCAACTTCTTAATTCTTCATCACTTTTATTTAAGATCAAACATGTTTATTCATCATCAGAAGAAATATTTAGAAATAATTATGAACAAATTATAGTTCATAATAGATGTCAAATCTATTCAATTAATTTATGGACAATGAAAAATATATTTTTAACTATGACATTGTTTATCATTAATTCATCATGTGATCATCTCGAATCAATCGTTCTTTTTGGAATTGAATCAGATATACTTTGTCGACTTCTTACTCAATATACTTGTTTACCTCGTTTATTCTCATTAAATATTGATACAAAATTTAGTTCTACATTAGATGAATTAACAAATATTTATCAGTCAATTTTTGCTTTACCAAAATTAAAATCTTTTGAATTAGAAACAAAGATATTTGACGACTCTCAATCAATACTTCCATTATCAATTGCTACTAATCAACAATGTTGTAGTAGTATCAAACGTCTTTATATACATCATTCTGTTAGTTTTAACGAATTGTTTGCTATAATATCTTATACACCGAAACTTTATCGTTTGAAACTATCAAATGCAAGCGATAATGGTAAACAATATATTGAAAATGTATTACCAATTTCATTATTAAATTTAATACATTTTTCAATAGATCGATATGAAACAAGTTTTGATAAATTTCAATGGTTTATTAAAAAAATATTTTTTTGCAAATTAAAAGTTTTATATCTTAATATTGAATATGAAGATATGACATGTTTCGATGCTCATCGATGGGAACAATTAATTCAACAATATTTACCTCAATTGAAAAAATTTTACTTGACATATTACGAACCTATTCAATATGAATATAAAATTATAAACAACTCTGGTCAACTTAATCAATTCTTTTCTTCTTTTTGGATTGAACAACAATCGATAATGGAAATTGAAATCCATAATAAACATATTAAATATGTAATTCGTCCATATAGGTACATCAATTAAATCTTTTCCAATAAAATAAATTAACTTATCTATTTAGAAAACTATGGTATGAATATACACCAAGTTATATTATCAATTCTTCTGTGCAACTTATTCTACGAAATGTTCATTCTGACGAATATGTTCCTTTATTAAAATCATATATTGATCATATATTAACTGTTGGACAAATTTGTCATTTGGAAATTTCTGAAATTTCTATTAATACATTTATTCAAATTATAAATTTATTACCTAAACTTGATTCATTAAAAATTTCTTCTTTGTCGTTAAAACAATCGAAATTTTTGTCTATTAATGAAACAGAACTGATTAATTTAATATCAAATAAAAATCAAATTATAAAAGTCAATCTGGAGAAGATCGGTAATATCGACGAAGTTTGTTTTCTTCTTGAACTTTGTCCTCGTATGACATATCTCAAAGTAGATTTCATAAATAATATAAATATGAAATTATTTGTACGAATTATTTTGTTAAAAATTAAAACTAAATGTAATTATCAACTTCGATCATTGTGTTTTTGTATACAAGCTGCAGATGATCAAATGATTAAAACTTTGCAAACAATGATTAGTTTTGAAAAACTTCTATTAGATTATACAATTAAACGTATACAGAATAATATCTATTTGCAATGGAAATGATTATTATCAAATCTTCTACTTATTCTTATCTCAGAAAATTAAATAAAAATTTTAAAAATCATGGACTTTTTTTTTTATTCTAATTCAATAGAATGATACATCTTTTTTCAGATGTGGGTGTGGGTGTGTGGGGTGTGGGTGTGGGTGGGTGTGGGTGGGGTGTGGGTGTGGGTGTGTGGATGTGTGGCGTGTGGATGTGGGTGTGTGGGTGTGGGTGTGGGTGTGCGGTTGTGGGCGTGTGGGTGTTGATGTGGGTATGGCTGTGGGTGTGGGTGTGGGTGAGAGCGAAGGGATAATCAACACCCACACCCACACCCACTCACACCCCACACTCACACCCTATATGACAAAATTGAGAGAAAGAGTCTATGATCAGCCTTTGACAAGAAGAGTTTGTTGGAAAATAAACGAATGTCTTTCGTGCACTCCTATATGACTGTCACACAAGTTTATAGTTTTCTTACCACATCGCACTTATGTCGTTTGGTCTATGCGCATCAAACTACACATGGCGGTTTGAATTTTGTTGGTCTTTACGTTGTTTCAGCCTCATTGAGTGGAAAACTGCTCAACAGGGATTTAATCCGAGATGTCCATCGCGACGCTGCCGCTGCCGCGATGGCGGTGGCGGTAAGGGCAGATTTTTTAAAAATCATCGCGGCAGCGGCGCGGTAGCGGCAGGCTTTTTAAAAGACCATCGCGGCAGCGGCAGGATTTTTTTGGGGAACATTGAAAAACTGCATGAATTTAATAGAATTTCAGGGTTTACAAATGAAACACCCCGAGACTGAATGAACCTGATGGACTAGTACCAATATCTCTGGTCAAATATAGTCGCAGCAGTGAAATTAGAAACACTTTTTTGTAAACCGCCGCGGTAGCGGCGCGGCGGCGGCACGTTTATTTTATAATTCATCGCGGCAGCGGCGCGGCAACGTTTTTTTTATAAGTCATCGCGGCGCGGCAGCGCCGCGGCAACATTTCTTTATAAACCGTCGCGGCGCGGCTGCGGTGCGGCAGCTTTTTTTTTCTAAGTCCGCGGCGCGGCAGCGGCAGATTTTCAGCCGCGATGGACATCTCTGGTGACTGCCGTCCAACAACAAATTGTCAATCAACAAGAACGAAGAACTCCATTTTGGTCTTCAATTACACAGACAAATGGAACAATAACAATGTTTAATAGTTCTCAACGACGAATATATACAATAATATTTTGCTTATCATCAACAATACTTCCAACAATAACAATAAATGATGAACTTATTAATAAAATACATACTAGAGAACATGAAGAAAACGACGTTCGACATCCAGCATAATTAATTATAATTATTATTGTTTATTCATTGATGTGTGTTTTAATAACAGTTGGAAATCTAATTGTTATACTTGCTGTTTCTCTTGTACGAAGATTACAAACAACATCAAATATACTTATTTTTAGTCTTACTGTTAATGACTTTTGATTCAGCTTATTTGTTATGCCATTGGCTGTGCGTACGATCTTTAATAACTTATATATAATCAAAAAAATTTATTATCTATCTTTTTCTAGTGCTTGAAATATCTAATAATAAATGGATATTAGGTTCAAT